TCCTTATTATATAATTACAGTATAATGGGCCCTAGAACCCTATTCTGATCATTAAGGCCCCTACATTAAGTCCTACACCCGATAAGCCTTTCTAGGCCATAAGGCACTTGAAGACCTCGATCTCTCAAATCCCCCCAGCTTTAGGGGTTTGGAGTCCAAACCTTATAAAGACTCGAAGCAAAATGGGTCTAGGGTTTTAGGGTTTAGGGTCTAGGGTTTTAGGGTTTTGGGTTTAACCTATTGAAAATTGATACGCAATTCCTATTCTCACCCTTGCATGCGTATAGGAAGGCTTGAAAGTAGTGCCTGAAGGCACCCTTGGAGACTGGACAGCTGCGCTTAAACCCTGGCCCTAACCCTTTAACCTGAACCCTTGAAACCTGAACCCCTAAGCCCGTAAACCTCTAAGCCCTAACCCCTAAACCCTTAAACCCGTAATTCATAAACCCTAAAACCCTAAGCCCTAAAAACCCTTAAGCCAACCCTAAACCCCCCTTACACGCTAAACCCCTAAACCCCACACCCCCAAACCCTTAAACCCCTAAACCCTAAACCGTACAAATCCCTAACCTCGAAATCTGATCAGAATCTGACTGCCACGATCCTCTTTGCGGACTTCTTCCTGGGCGTGCCCCTCGAGCGCCATGAGGCAAAGAACCTCGTCTCTTGGCTTCAAACGTAGGATTTAGGGCTTGGTTTCGAGCCAAAAGAACTACGCATTCCAGTGGCATGCCTCTGCATTTACACAGCCCGCAGCTGATGCAGCCTTGTTGCGCACAGCGGGACATTTTCGGCATTCATGGTCGGGAGTCATACCCACGTCCGGTGAAGAACAAAATGGGGGTTTCCGAAAATAGGGGACCCTAATATAGTACCCTAAATAGTAGGATCCTTATTCTAAGGACTCCAAACTAAGGTACCCCAATTTTCAGAAACTCCCAAATCCAAAAGCAGCAAGATAAGCTGCCGGGGACCTGAGAATCCAGCATCCCGTCCCACCCGTGCCAAGTTCTCAGCACCACGTCTCACTCTTGGCGACTGAAGAATTTCGTCACAACTTCGTGTTGCATGCAGGTCGGCAGGCCTCTGCTGATGCTTTATTTAGATTTCGGCCCAGTCCTTTTTTCCCGAAGTATTCCCGGTACTGCAGTGGCTTTGAGAGGATCCTACTTACGATCTTACTCAAAAAAACTCAGCTATCTTAGTAAGCTGCTAGGAATCCCAAGCACACCCCAGGAAGTGGCAGAGGACGCGACCTGGACCGTTTTTCATCAACGTCGCAACTTTTCGGGTTGCAGACGCGTGATCGCACAGAAGGTGTTTCCCAAAATTCCAAGAAGGTAAAACACCAAGCAAAACTAAATTCCAAGTCCCATTCCCCAATTAACCCCCTGAGTACAGGACCCTAAACCCTACACGCCAGAAAGCATTTAACCCTAAAGTGCCGCCCAAGGCACAAAATCTGAATTGAAAATCCAAAACTCTGGAACCTTAACCCCTGTAAGGGTTCAGGTGCAGCCGAAGAAGCCCTGTACAATCACGGTTTAGGGTTTAGGGTTTAGGGTTTAGGGTTATAATGAGGTCCTGAGTCTTAAACCCACAGACACAAGCACCAAACAAGTCTTGGTTGTCTTGCGTCCTGTTTTATGATCCCAGAAAGATCTATAGATATAGCAATCCATCAAAGCCTGTTTAAATGCCAAATCCTGAGCTCAGAAACGGCTTGGAGTTGATTTTTTTAACCCGAAACGCCCCTAAACCCTAAACTCTGCAACTAAGCCACAACCTGACTCCTACATCCCTGAATCCCAGGTCCACCGTGCCCAGAAACTCTTGTAAAACCTGATCGGGCCCGGTAGAAGCCTACAAAGCTCAATAGGACCCGATAACATGCCAGACGCTGAACCGCCATCCATACAAACAATAATCCCAAACCCTCAGAGGCCCCACAAGATTGAAAAGACTCCTATAAAGATCCCTTCTAAGCCTCTCAAAAATTGCAGAGTACCCTGAAAAACCCGATGGACGCCTGTCAAAAAAACAAAACCCCTAAACTTAAGCCCTAAGCTCTGGAAATCTCAGAACCCCAAACCCTAAACCCTAAACCCTAAACCCTAAACCCTAAACCCTAAACCCTAACTCGGCACAGAAACGGATTGCAGCGATGATCCGGACTGCCTTGCCTCCTTCGAAGGAGCCCATGGTTGTCCCTGGGCCTGTCTTTTTGGTTGGGTTTAGGGTTTAGGGTTTAGGGTTTAGGGTTTAGGGTTTAGGGTTTAGGATTCATGATTATTTTCTTTTATAAGGGGTACCAGTAGTAGACTCCGTGAGCCCCGAAACCCTAACCCCTAACCCCTAAACCCTATAAGCC